CAAATTTGATAATATTTGACACATCTGTGAAGCAGAAATATCAGTAAAATACACAGGAAGTAATATATCTGAAATATTAGTAAAAGAATAACTTGACATAAATGGTGAATAGCACACTTTTGTGGAATTTGTCAACACCATTAGAAAAAGGGTCAACACCGTCAGACAAAAATCCTGATGGTGTTGACATCTGATGGTGTTGACAAAATACCCTACTTTCTCTCATAACACATGTTTTTCTGACAAAAGCCATCTTGTTTTTCATCAGTTGCTTATGGCCTCTACATTCTACCTAAATTAAGCTCTTTTTACAAAAAAATAAAATAAAATCTTGGATTACATCGACTTTGGTGTTGACACACTATGGTTGTGACACAGAGTTTTATCAGAAAGGTGTGCAATAAATGAAATAAAAACAAATAAATTATCACAGCAGTGACCTCATGGCATGTCTATCAAACAGGAAGTGGTAAAGGGGTCTTCAGAGTGTAAGCTACCCAACATTAATTCCTGATTTTTTTTGTACTTTAAAAAAAATCTGATGGTGTTGACAAAAACTCTGGACACGATTTTAATCACTTAAAACATATTTAAAAATAAATTTTCAATTGCATATTTTGATATTATATAAGGTATTGACTTAAATACTTAGTGACGAGAGCCATGATGTTTAATTTTACATTACTTTTAATTTTTTTTCTGTATTTTAATATTATCACACCTGCTTCTGGACAATGGATTTTTAAGGTACTGGTAATATATATTTACCATTTAAAATAAATATATATTGATAAAAAAATGCAAAATCATACTTTTGTTGTATAAACATTGCCTTGGTTTGTCTTTTAGACAGTTGGGTTAACACTTGTTTGCATATTTTTAACCACAAAATTGGGTTTTATCTGCCGGACATGTTTTGTCCCTCATCTCAAGAATCACTGAATGGCCATTCAGTCAGTTGAGGGTATTCAATGTAGGTCAAAGAGTGACATGCTTGCAGGAGCTTTTGAATTATTATCATTATACTTTCCACTTCTTTGATTGTGATTTCTCAGTCGACAGCAAACAGTATGATATATTTTCATATGGCTATGATGCCTTCAGTACTTTAGCGGCTCAATGTAAGAGCAGACTGACAGACTGATTTGCAGAGGGGATTTATTGTCTCAGCCAAATTTCCGTTTTGTTATTGTTCATAGCTCTGCAAGCTCAGCATGTGTGCTGTCTGAAAAGAAGCCAGTGACAACAAGGAAAACAATAACATTTATTTATTGATTCATAAGGTATATATTTCATGATATAATAGCGATATATTATAATTGGCAAAGATACTATAATCCAATAGCATTTCTATACATAAATACAAAATCTGAGGTAGAGCCTCAAAGATTGATGAAGTTGAAAATAAATAAATGCATTTCACATATATTATATATATTTTCTTTCTTGTTTTTTTTTTTTGTTTTGTTTTGTTTTGGGGGGTTTACACACATCACACACATTTTAAAACATAATTGTTGTAGTGTATATCTACTCTTAATTTTAAAATTAAATTGATGTCATGGGCTTTTGGAGGCACATATCTATATCCATAGGCAGCAGTACCTCACATAGAACACACAGAAATATATGACATTACTCAAGTAATTAGAAATTTAACCTATGCATTCATAGGTCACACAATAAAGTGCCAAAAAGACACAACAGACGTAACAATAGGAATACTGGTACCATATGAGACAGACAGCTATTGTGTGATGTTATTTCTGAAATACATATAATATTCTACCATAAGAGGACATCTATAAGGCCAATGGTTACCTGAAGATGTTTTGTAACATATTGGCAAACATCAAAGAACACTACATGTTATATGAATGGCAGTATCTCGACCTCCTATACGCAGATGACACATTCCTTTTTTCTTTTAAAGATTGCTTTCTGTTTTCACTACAACCCTTATATAAATTGCTCTTTCTTTGGTTACTTATACTGCCCAAAGTTGACTTGCAGGCTAAGCAAATTAGCAGTTCTTTTTGGTTGCTGTTGTTGTTGTTGTTTTGATTCTTTCACCTATGTAAAAGGACAACAGCAACCTTCTGATTCTTTATGTAGAACATAAAGTTACCTAAAGTAAACATGCACTGTATTATACTATTGGGAGGAAAAGGACAAAGATTATTATACATGGACATCAAGTTACAGCAACACAAACTGCACATGCAAGCTCTTCATTACATTATATGGCTCCATGTGGTTTCAACTAAACCCTAATTTAGTTTTTTGTTTTTTTTCTGAAAAATAAAGGCAGAGAATCTCTATAGAAATTGAACATAACAGGGCACAGAACAAGGCCCCGAGTGAAAGCATTAAAATCTCTCTCAGGGCAAAAAAGGCTTTAATCATTCAAGTCTTATAGCAATACGCAAACGGTCTACTACATCCAACATGATTTAAAATGCCAACCTGCTCATTTGGCCAGCCCTGCTCTAATTTGCATGAAAGCCATAGAGTTCAATGGTTTTTTTGGAGCAGATTAGTGTTCATAGTCTGCTTTAACCAGCTCGAGTTAATAATTTGTTCTCCAAGATCCCCACATCATCAGAAATGAGAACTAGGTGCATCAAACATCCTGTAAATCTCCTCTGCCTCTTTCAGCAATCTACTTTAAGACTGACCATGCAAACATCTGATTGACAGGTAAGTGGAAGTTCATTTGAACTAATATATAGACAAACACACACATACAAGCATACACAGACATACATTATTATCACATTGGAACAAATAGAGCTAAATGCACTACATATTACCCAAAGCAACACTGCCTAGCAAGCACACTATTTAACATCAGGGTATTTGTGCTCATCGATTGATCGCGTTTTGTTTTCAAACCATAAAACCTCTTTGATCACAATCTGTGCTATGTACATGTCAAGTTCTTGAAAATACATGGCTTAGAGAAATAGTTAAGGAGACATTTAAACTCTTGTCTACTGTTATAGAATCTATACCTGCAGCCTCCATTAAGAACGCTTACGCCACTCCACAATTCATCACCTGCAGTGTTAAAAGCATAGTAAAGCCAATTAGGAATTTTGTCAGCATGAAAATGCATATCCAACTGGTCAAATTGTGGAAAGTACTAATTGCTTTCAAGTGGATACATGGTGTTACTTTGAAGGTAATTGGTTAGCAGCCCACAAAGTAAAAGTTGGCTGCCACACATGTGACATTTCAAGAGGGTGCAAAGCCTGTCTGTCTACCTGCTGAGCTTTACTGAACTGTTCTTCAAGTTGCTGTGGCGTTACATAAGGAGATGACTTTTACGCCCCCAGAAACAGTGGCTCATTTGTGCTGAGGATATCTTAACAGGATGAGTTAAAGGGAAATATGTGCTAAATTACAGCATTATGGCTAATTCTACAGGATCACAGTGTGAGTAGAAGTTGGTGAGAGCTCAGAATTTTCTTCCTTTTAGAATGAAACTAATCAGTGCATTGATGATCAACAAAACTGTTTCAAGAGCTAATTAAAGTTCCAGTTTTGAAATGTGACTTTCTTTTTAATTAATTTTACTCATAATGACCCTCCTTTAGCAGTGCACAGGGTTGGTCAAAACAGGCTAAATCACTTGTGTATCTTTTATATTCATTGCACCGAAGCAACAGCAAGCAAAACCAAAGCAGTGCTGCATTGAGATTATCTGACCTTTTGCAACACACTTCCACATCGTTCCCATTATAATTAAGCACTGGGGTGGCTCTGCTGTTTTCTGTGCACTGGCTGCTACTGTTCCCACAGCTACCAGAGTAGTCTGAAGGGATCGAGTATACCTGAGACCCTGTTTTCATGAGGACACACGTAGAAGCGAGGCATACGTCTGAAATGACAAAGAGGTCTCAAGAGCTCTACCACAAACAACAAGAGACAAAGTACACTTCCAGGATAGAAGGAGGCCATTTTCTAATCTTCATCTGCTCACATATAGCAGCAGTTCCTAATTTTTTGAGGACAGGACAACAACACACACTTACTACTTGAAGAAAGTCTTTTTTTTGTACAAAATATTCCACAACTAGGGTTCAGAGAGGCATTATTGCCCCTCCCACACACACGCAGACACACAAATGCGAGTCCCTGTCTTGCCACCTCTTCACTGCTATACATATATTATATATATATTATTTATATATATATGATAATATATATTATAATAAAATATATATATATATATATATATATATATATATATATATATATATATATATATTTTACACTGTTACTCTACTGATGCGATGTATATTGGAAAGAAGGTTTCGTCAGATGGCTTAGCACTTTCACAAATACACATCTAAAATATATGCACAAATAGCGACTACTAGGTTTTCAGACCTTAGAAGGTTAAATGGCCACGTTATCACCTTCTAGAAGAAGGCTAGACTACTCCTACGTTAGGAATGTGCTACTTTAAATTCTAGGACAATACAGCAGGAATACAACTTAATAAATAGACAAAGAGAGAGGGTATCACAAATGGTCCCTCGGGTTCAGAATGAAAAATAAACCCAAGTTTGTACCATACTGTAGAGTCATCTGAGGCCAAAGTGTATCTACGGAAAGTAGTAATCAGGATGCATTCGCTACTCTACCGGGATGTAAGAGGCACAAATTGCAGATCTTATAATCTATTTTTGACAAAGCAATAGCGACTGAGTGGAAGCCCATATGAATATACATATATACTGCTGGATAGGAACAAAATGTGATAACAGAGCATATTGTGTTTTTTTTTTTTCTTTCCAGGCAGTTGATATTATTTGTATTGCCGATGGAATTTTGTACACAGATGGAACCAAACAAAGATCCCCACTGAGCTCGTTGTGCCGTTTTTTGTTTTTGGGGGGGTTTTTTCTCTGTCGCTCAATTTTCTTTTTGTTTTCCTGTGTCTGCTTGCACCAAGATGATTCATTATCTGTACACACGAATTTGATGGCACGCACATACACTTAAACTCACGCGCGCACACACAGAGAAATACACACAACTCCATAGGGAGCAACTAGGGTGAGTCTAATATTGCAAGTGCAGTCTGAGCTGTGTCATTTTATGACACAATTTTTCTCTTGGAATAAAGATCCCTGGGAAGGGTTCTGGAGTAATCAGCGGTCATGTGTGGGAGGCAATGGTAGCCCATTAAGAGTGTACAAAGCAGCAGTGGAAGAGTAGACTCCACTTGGGCAGCTACTCCTCCCTGAGAGAAGAAAGGACATGATGCAGACATAAAGGAAGAAGAGAAGGTGCTTGTTTCCACATCCACGATAAAGCAAAGAAGACAAGAAGCAAAGAAGGCTTAAGTACAGAGCAGGAGAGAGAGAGAAGGGAGAAGACGTGGAGATGGAGACGATTCCCACCACCCACCAGTGCCTCCTACAGGGCTTGGAAGTGGTGGATGTGGTGCTGTCAGGATGGCTGCTACTGGTAAGAACCAAGCTGGAAGTCCTTGGGGGGCAGCTTGAGGCCCAGGGAGCTGGTTCCCAGTGGGTCGATCATGTTCTGGTAGCGTTCTCCACGGTGCTTCATCAGGAAAGGACCCCAGTCAGGCTGAGGGGAGCAGACCAGCTTCAGGCGCTGCATGACAACAGGAAACACAGAGCACTTACAGGTAGCGATAATACATGAACTGCTCTCTTTAACAAATGCTGGCCTCTTGTTAAATTACATTTTTTTGGGCTTTTGCCCTGACTTTTAACACATTGATAAAGCTACTTCTTGCACATTTAACATGTCCATAAATATTCACAGCCTTTGCTCAATACTTTGTTGATGCACCTTTGGCAGGAATTACACCCTCAAATTTTTCTGAGTATGATTCTAAAAGCTTTGCACACATATTTTTTGTTCTTCTTCTTTGCAGAACCTGGTTGGATGGGGGAGCATCGGTGCACAGCCATTTTCTGATCTCTCAAGAGGTGTTCATTCAAAGACATTCATAGAGTGGTCCTGAAGCCACTCTTTTGTTATCTTGGCTGCGTGTTGGGGTTCACTATTATTTTGGAAAATGAGCCTTCGCCTCAGTTAATGAGATGGGACCAAGAACTACATGTGGACAGGTGTGTACCTTTCCAAATCATGTCCAATCAACTGAATTACCACAGCTGGACTTCAGTTAAGTTGTAGAAACATCTGAAAGATCAGCGGTGGAAACAGGAAGGACCCGAGCTCAATTTTGAGTGTCATGGCAAAGGCTGTGAAGATTTGTGTATGTGCTTCATTTTGTTTGATTTTTAATAAATTTGCAAAAATTTCAAGCAAACTTTTTGACTTTGTCACTATGGGGCATTGTGTGCAGAAATTCGAGGTGAAAAAGGATTTGACACTGTGATGATTATGCGTTAATTATGATCAAGAAAAGCAAAGCAAATCAAATGTAGCGTTAGAGGTGTGTGATAGAGGCTGCTGTCAGATACAGAGCGCACAAAGATGTTAGACCAGAAAGGCCCGTTCGTCATCATCATCATCCATTAATCAAAGCATTTTAAAGAGACCCACAAGACTCCCAGAAAAAATGTTCAAATTAATACTCAGCCTGCAGCCTTCCTCTCTCTGCTAATGAGCGAAGGATGAGACTATTGATTTCCTCGACAGTGCGTGCGCATGTGTGTGTGTGTGTGTGTGGTGTGAGTAAGTGTGTGTGTGTGTGTGTGTGTGTGTGTGTGTGTGTGTGTGTGAGAGTGTGTGTGTGTGTGTGTGTGGGCGTGAGAGAGAAAGAGAAAGAGACAAAGATGCATTTGGGACAGTGTGTGCGTAGCAGACAAACCCAAAACATTACGTGACAGTTTTATCACAATTATTACCTCGATGATGGTGCCGGGGGCCAGGTGCATCTTAATGACGAACATGATGGGGATCCAGATTACAGAGCAGATGACCATGAGCCAGCCCATAACCATGGACCAGGTGGGGTAGGTGTAGTCCTCATATGTCATCACCTTCCACTGGTAGAGACTCAGCCCCAGGATGCCCTGCACACGCCCGGAAATCCGAGAAACATTTGTTAGGTGAAATGTCACAGCACGGTATTTCAACTGCTGTTACCTGATGCTGCTCAACTGTGCAGTGATTGTCAGCACTGACTGGTATGGACTGTGTAGTAGCTTAACTGCACTGACCTCAGGGTCCAAGGCTAAAACTTTGTCTGCTGTTCTATATCAATGAGAAAATTAGATCTTTAGTTGTATTATATGCAGAGAGTACAAAAACAGGAAAGGCAGGAGTGGGTCAGGGGGGGTGGAAAAAGTATAAAAAAGTGAATTTGGTTTGAAAGGATTAGAATAAGACCAAAAGGAATACAAACAGAGAAAAGATGGCAGACAGAACTAGGTTAGCCGGAGGCTGTGCATCAATGAGCTCCCGGAGGAAATGTGATCTCGAGAGAGAGAGAGAGAGAGCAGCAAGATGGCCAGCCGCCTCGACTGCTGCTCCATTTGTCATCGTCACCTCTGCTTTGGAGGTACAGTAGTTTCCATTACGACTACTAACATTAATGCTGGCCAGTGTCCAGCTCTTACGTGCCTTTGTAGTGAACTTCGACTACACAGAATTCTACGTAAAGACTCTCAGCTTTACAGAGACAGGTTTCTTTGGAGATATGTGTATACTCTCTACTGATCATGTACATGTTCAGTGCAGATCAAACGCTGACACATTTGGAATTTGGCAGCTTCAGTTTTGAAATGACAATCAACGTGAGAACCTGTGACATGACGGGAATGTGAAGGAGGAAATAATTTTTCGATTTCTGAGTACAGGAGCAATTTCTCCTCTGTTCCTTTATGATTGCAAATCAATGAACTTGAAAGAAGACAGTGAAAATAGAGGCATTTTGGGCTGCACATGTTCATATGTGCCCATGTGTATGAGTGTCTGTGTGCGTGTGTGTGTGAGCGTGTGTGTGTGAGTGAGTGTGCGTGTATGCGCATACCAGGGAATGAGATGAGCAAAAACAAACATACCGTCAGAATGGTTGGAGTCACAAAGGCCCAGCACAGTCTCCAGAATCGGTTTGGCTGGAAACCAATCATCATTTCAATGTCCTCACAAAACCTCTGTAGGCCTGCAAAGGAAGAAGAAAAAAGAGAAGAAATAAAAGAAGAGAAATGGGTGGTTTCCAGAGAGAAGGCATGGAGTGTGACCTGGGTTTGATAACGTCCCTTTAAAAAAAAGGATCGGTAAATTCAATCTGTCCTTATGAGCACATGTGAATGCGTTTCTGTGGTCCCTGGAAAAAGTGAGTGAGCAGATGGCTTCATTCCTCTGCTTTTATTGACGGATAACTGTGAGTGACATGAAGTGGCAGAGTCACACAATCATTTCAATATGTCACCTGCACTGATGACAAACTGGAGGCGAGCTTTGCTTCTTGGTAACAGCCTTCTGATACACACCTGAGCTCTCTGCCTGTGTGTGTGACAGAGACTTGTGCATTACAACAGAGACTCCTAGTGGTCACCGCAGGATTAACAAGTGAGAATTCGTTTCCAGCACGAAGGAGCTTTGGACGATTGTCCCCTTTTGCAGATACGCATAATTGAGATGCAGAAACCCGTTATTTTAACTATGCTGTTCTTTTCAGTTTGATTTTTTTTTTCTTGTTAAAACTGCTACAGCCTGAAGATATTTTGATTTTATCTGTTTTACTATGACAAAGGATTTTAAGTTCAGGAATAGAAATGCCTCAAAAACCACCAACATTCTCTGCTGCACCCTGCACTGACAGTAATATTCTAGGGTCTCTCGGCTGATTATACAGTTCGGCACTGCTGTCTGTGGAAATGTGTCACAGAAGCAAAGTCAAAGCAAAGAAATTACACACACAATATCAGATATCTAGATTTTCAGAAGAGAAAGGTATTCTTGCATTTATTATTCTATTATATGCATATGCCTCTCTGAACACACAATCAAACTGGCACTGGCTTTTTATGTAAGAAATACAAATGAAAAAAAAGTGGGTATAGGTATGTCACCTATTGGTTTGACTGAAAAAACAACAGACTTATAAAATAACAACTTGGCAACCGTAAGTTTGCCCAAAAGGCCATGAAATCATCAGAGAAGTATTCACTACATCAAATCTTAATCTGTCCTTATGATCTTATCTGTCTACATTTGCAACCAGAGCAGTCGCCCCCTATTGACCATTAAACAGAATGCAGATTAAAGGTACTGTCTGTGGAAAGAAAAAATCACAGCTGTGACTCCACATGCTGAACCTAGAGTGGCCTTAAAGTGAGCTTTCCTGGCAGCTCGTGTACTTACCATAGAGGTACGAAATCCCCACCAGCTCAAAGATAGCAATGATGACCAAAGAATAGGAGGCCGCAAACGTGTCCACCAACTGGAGCATGTACATCCCACTCTGTAACAAACACACACAGAAAATATTACAAAATCTATTCAGCCTTCATCCTGCAATGTCATCCCTCCTGTCACCCGACACTTGGATTTGTCCACGGTCACAACTTCCTTTTAATAAGACTCAGCCTACTGTTCCAATCATTGCGCCTGACATCTGAAGGCCAGAACTTTGCTTGACATGCAGAAAAATTGGCATTGTATTCAAAGTCAGAGTCAGAGGGTGCAAGGAGAATGCTCAAGTATCCACTGTGAACCCAGAGTGCAGCAGAGCACATACCTCTGTGATCATGGGAAATCCCAGGATGAAGAAAGAGACGCAGCAGACCAGGGTGAAGATCGGCTTGTGTTTCCTCAGGTATTTGGGGTACTCATCTGACACAGAGGTGACTATGGTCTCGATGGTGGCAAACTGGGATGGAGATGAGAAGGGGGAAATATTAAAGAGAACTAGGGAGGAAATGTGTTTAACCATGGCAGATGTTTAATAAACACGTTGTTCAAACATTGCATTTGCTGAAAACAATCGCCAACTCTTTATGATTCCTATTTAATATTAATACTTTTGGCAACAGCTTACAGTAATCCTGCTTGGCTCCACTACAGAATCACTAACAATTGTCCACCCAGGCCAGGGCGTAGCAGCAATTCCACTAAATAAAAAGCCTCAAGTCAGCAAGTTTACCTCATCTGAATCCAAGCGGCCGCTGCTGTCATAACTTTAGCATCCAGCATTTGTCTTCGGTTCATCCAATAAACACATAATTTCATTTATTTCACAAACAAATAAAGAACATTATTCTAACCCTGAGCAGAAGAACTTCTGAAAACAAATAAGTATGAAGAATTTAGTTTACAATGGATAGACTTTGATAGGATGAGCCTGTCTAGAGAATTGCAAATGTAACATGATGGTAAAAGGGACTCGGAACCCAGAGGACAGCAGCGGATGAATACATAAACATGAAAATTGAGCGAGGGTTGTATAGTGTGTGCGTATGCATAAGTTTATTGTAGAAATGGCGCTGCCATCAAGCTATCTGTCACTTCCCCACTTCTTCCTTTTCCTCCTGAGCTCCCAAAACTAATTTCCCGTCAACATCCCAAGCCTATTACTGCTGAGCTGTGTTCCACGACAAAACCACAGCAGCAGCACTCTCCTCTGTGCTGCTGCTGCCAAGGCAAAGTAACATCATCATTTACTGTTACTGTTTACTTGTGTCTTAATGCACCACTGTGCCCTCTGCTCCTCTGCTCAGCTCAGGAGCATCACAATGCACTTGAAGGAGTTTGTGTTTTATCAGGAACTGTTTACCCAGGATCATGGCGGGAGGTGCTCTGGACTTTAAAAACATCCCGAAGACGAAAAGTGTTTGTTCGCTGAAGCTGCGTGAGGCATAACTTAGCGCAGTAACCGATATCATGGCTAGTGGGTCCAAATGAAACCGTTTTGGGTTATTTTAGGAAAACATAGTGCTGACATGGAGCAATAATATAGTCAGTTTGAAGTTTTTCAGTATACTTGTCTTTCACTTTTACATTTATGGATCTGCTAGTGGAATTATTGTTTTGACATTAGAAGAATTAAAACAATTTCCAAATACAAATTGTAAATGATATCTAAAGTAAGTAAATGTTACAATAGATCAATATCATAGACAGATATATATAGTTTAAAATGAAAACCTTATAGGTTTTTTGTTTACTGTAATTCCTTCTTAAAATGTAAAGGCACAGGCCACTTTGTAAGCTATTGCTTTTTGACACAAAAATCTAACCATCCAATCATGTGGCAACAACTGTTCAAAACAACCTGCGGAAGTTCAAACCTAGTGATGCTGACGCTGAATGAAGCTGTCATGTTAAAATCTCTAAGAAATGTTTCCAGCAACTTGTTGAATTCATGAAAAATTAAAGCAGTCCTGAAGGGAAAAGGGGCCCAAAACTGATGTACTGCATTTTGAGTAAAATGCAAATGAAAAATATAAAAACAATGGTTTATTTACACGCTTAATTAATCATTAAGGAAAATAAGCTTGATATGAACTGAAAGTATACTAATCAATTCAGTATTATTTGGCCAGCTTCCATTAAATGTAATGTTTTACATTATAATTATAGAACAAAATTCCACTGAGAATTTTGGACATAAACATTTTTAGTGTAGAATAGCTTCCTGAAAATGAATTATATCTTAAATCTGTGCAGTTATTGTTGGCATTCTCCACCCTCCATATGCTCAAACTGCAGCTGGAGTGGTTTTATTAATATTATGATTGAGCTTTCCATCATTTCTGTGATGGAATGGTTAACAAAATGAATTCTTATCACCCACAGTGTAAAGCACTGTGTTCACATATCACATTTGATTGTTGTTTTTACTTCCTGATGTTGCTCCAAGACTTTAAGGTCAACCTAGTTTCACTCACTCCAATCACACAGACTCCCCTCTGTTCAAGTACCTGGAGAGCTCAGGCACTTCAGGTGAAATCAGTCACAGCGGGTGCTGTGCATTTGTAATTATGTTAATTGGGTCAATGTGTGCAGTGTGCAGTGTTTATACATCAGCTACCAAACCCAAGTGTTAACCTCGGAGCAAACAAAAGTCAAGAGACTCGTGTTTCTGACTGTCACAAACTTTGAGATCTTCAGCAAAATTAAAACAAAGTGGGCCTGAATACCTACCACAGCAGAAACAGATCATTTACCTGACAGACCAACGTCTCACAACACCTCGTTTACAAACACATTACACATTAAAAATGAACACTGGCATCAAGGTCGAGATTGGTTTCCCTAATCTTGACCCTTGAACGAAACAACCTCCCATCACTGCGCTTTTTATTCATATTTTTTATATTAATTATTGCTTGAAAATGTTTACAATAATCCCCAACTCTGCACTTCACAGAGCTTTTTAGCCATTATCAGCTCATTTTTTCATTTTATGTTCTAAGTGACACACAACTGGACTATACAAGCTTTGGCAGAAAGAGACTACTAAATATTCCTTTTGTATTTATAAGTTATATTCGTTAATAAAGAAAATCAAACTTTGTGCTCCTCGTTTGTGCTTGTAATTTAAAAAAAACGAATGTTTTAACATTCTTGTAATCCTGCTCAGTGTCACTTTTTCTTAAATATGTGTTGCCCTCGAGCCTTTTCTCCTCATTTCTCCTTCTTGCCTCCATCTCAGTTGGGACGCACTAAGATGTGAGGAAACAGGGCAAGGAAGACAATCAAAGACGAACACACTGAGAGATGAGGTGAGAGATGTTTCTCTCAAGCACAAGAACAAGATCATCTCATCCTCTACGCAAACACTGTGGTGGACAAGAGGGTGATGATTGGTTTCATAGGTAGTGTGGAGCTCTTCTGCCACCAACTGGCTAAAAAAAAAAGGAAACTCTTTTCTTGTTTACATGTCTTGCTCAGATTCGGGTAAGAAGACTGCCATCATCTTTAGCAGATGGAGAGCTTGTGCAGGATTTTACTCCAGCAGTAGAGCAAAGACTAAAAGTGCTGTTTCATGTTCTTTAACATGTAAGTTCAAATAGAGTTACTTAAAAGTCATTTTATGGGCAAATTGTTTGCCTGTTTCCAGCTATAACTTCCAAATGCCATAGCTCATATTTAAACTTGGAACTTGATTTTTTTTTTTTCATTAGTATTAAGAGGACGTAAAGGTTACCATAGTATCCAGGCCAAGGGTCAGGAGCATAAGGAAAAAGATGATTGCCCAGAAAGGAGACAGGGGAAGTCTGGTCAGAGCCTCTGGATACACCACGAAAGCTATACCTGGACCTAACAGACACACACAGACAAACATATATACTACATGTATGGTATTTCAATAGGAATACATAGACACTGTCTCAAGTGCAGATAAAAGCGGTGCTGACCTCATGCTACTGCCAGCCAGTTTGGGAGCTTACCTTCATCAGCCACCTTCTCTATTGGCACCTTTAACTCATGTGCCATAAAACCAATGACAGAGAAGATGACAAACCCAGCAAATATACTGGTGGCGCTGTTTGTGCATGTCACTATGATAGTGTCCCTGCAATGAAAAGGAAAACAAGAAGAGAAAGGAGAAACGTGAAGTGAGCAAATATATTTGTTGTGACTTCAAGAGTTTTTAAGTATTTAAAACATAGAAATATGAATATGAAAACTGTCCAGTGGTGCCAAAGTCCTTCTAGAACCAGGTCTCAGGATGAGGAAGCCATCTTGCAACGTCTCTTGGCACTTATTTGGGCGGTTATTTTGAAGCATTGCCTAAATTCATTTGAATTAAAATGATCACTGGAACATAAAAATCTCATTACCATCGAGTCAAATCGGATTTTTTGTTTATTAATGTTTGCCAACTTTGCCACAGAGTAATGATTTGAAAAGCTTTTCATAAGAAGTCAAACTTCTTTCACCATCTTTACGGCAACTGAATTCTCAAACATTTCATCGATCTGAGTGTCACATCCCTCTGATAACATTTAAAAAACACAATTGGCAAATATATAATAGTGGATAATACTACTAAGCTTTCATTTATAGTAATGAACCATGTGTATATTCAGTTAATGTTAATGTGCAGATATTGTGACTGCATGGAGTAAATATATATATATATAAAATATATATA